GGGACTATGGTGGTGGCACAGGGGTGATTTGGTGATGGGAAACCCGTGGGGATTACAATTGAGATGAAAAAAAAAATGTGAAAAATGATGTAAAAATAAACTTTTTAATAAAAAAAAATCTTTTGAGCAGTAAAAATGGCTAAGTAGATGAAAAGATAAGCTACAGATGGGAAGAAACTAGTAGGACCTCAAGTAATATTTTCTTACAATGTTGATGGGAGGGTGGAGATTCTGGTCAAGATTGAAAGATAGTGTGTTAATTGAGCATCTGGTTTCATTATATATTGTTTCACTTAAACATGCAGTTCTCGGAAACTTACTGTTGAATGTGAGGTCTTACTATATATGTAAATCATATATTGGCTAACAATTCATAGCTATAACAAAGAGTTATCTACGCTTAATATTAAAAGAAAATCCAATCAGAAGATGGGTGAAATAAGGTGACATTAAGTAGAATGAAGAGACATTGCATTGAATTGTACATGTGAATGGTGAATAAGTGCATGGAAAACTGTTATTTTTGTAGCCTTTAAATAAAAGTAAATTGGGACTATGAACTATAACATGAATAACCATTATAACAGCTTCAGGGGAGGAAACTACCCATGCCAAATACTGGCTGGGCTATATGACTGGATTTTAGATTCAATTCTTAGTTAAGTCAAGATGTGTATATCTTATAGCTGTTTTTTTAAATTCTCAAATAACTCATATTTCCCAATAGGAAGAAGTACAAGCTGGTAGCAGATTTGGACTTAAGTTCCTAGTATTACTTTCTAACTGTGTCCTTTTGTAAATTATTGATCATCTTTAAGCTTCTTAAGGTTCTTAATGTTTCATTTAGTGGTTGAAGAGTACAATGTGTGATAATATAAAATCACTCAAAAACTGTTAATCTTTTATTACTGACCAGAGTGTTTCAGACACAGCAGCATACTGACATACTCTTATATACTTGTAGAGAAATCTGTTGATGAGTATTCAGTATATACAAGATCATCTCTTTTTATTATAACATTTCATTTTTACATCATTGTGTGCCTTTTTCCATCTCATTTGTAATCCCTGTGAACTTCCCATCGCTAATTCACCCATGTGCCATCATCATAGTCCCACACACTCTCCCTCCATTTTTTATCCCATTCCCCATTCCACCCTGTAAAATGTCTCTGGTATATTATTATTATTATATTTCCCCTTAGTCCTTTATGCTCCTGCTATGAGTGAAAACATCTGGTATTTTTCTTTTTCTTTCTGGCTTATTTCACTAAGCATGATCCCTTCCAGCTCCATCCATGTTGCTGCAAAAGGCATGTGTGTTTTTTTTTTTTTTTGGGTTGCTGAGTAATATTTCATTGTGTATATGTACCACATTTTAATCCAGCCATTTACTTTTAGGCATTTGGGTTGATTCCATGTCTTTCCTATTGTAAATAAAGCAGCAGTAAATATAGGGATGCAGGTGTCTTTTTGAATCAATGTTTGTGTCTTTTGAGTAGATACCTAGGAGTGGGTTTGCTGGTTATATGGAAGGTCCATTTTTAGCAGTTTGAGAAACCTCCAAACAGTTTTCCATAGTGGTTGTACTAGTTTGCATTCCCAGCAACAGTGCAGGAGAGTTCCTTTTTCTCCACACTCTCGCCAAAGATCGCTGTTGCTACTTGTTTTAAGATGTGCCATTCTCACTGGGGTGAGGTGGAATCTCATTGCGGTTTTAATTTGCATCTCTCTTATTACAAGTGATGTTGAACATATTTTCATATGCTTGTTGACCATCTGCATTTCCTCACAAGAAGATCTTTTAAGCTAGTTTGTGATGACTGCATGCTGACACATTTTTGGAGGTGAGGTGACAAGCTTCAGTTATTAACTACCTTCCCATTTCACCCTGTTCTCAATGTTGCAATAGGAAATGTTGGTAGAGATCTTTTGGAGATGCTGGTTGATGCTGGACCAGACTTAAGATTCTTTCTTTCTTTCTTTCTTTTTTTTTTCTTTTCATTTCAGACTTGTTTCTTATTACCTGTTGATATCTGAGAATTATCTTTGATTCTTACCTTCTTTTTTCTCTCCTTCTACATTCAGTAATTCTACAATCTTTTTTCTCCTTCTATAACTCAGTTAAGTTTTGCTTCTTAATCCCCTTAAAATTAAATCTACTCACATCCTCAACTTGCCTGCCATTGCTGCAAATCAATTGTTCATTGTTTTCATCATAATTAACATAATTAAAACTTGGTCTTCTTGCTTCCTGACTAGTTGAGATTCTGATCTCTTACTCATACCAAAGGTAGCTTTCTAAAATGTAAATTTTGTTGTCTTCAGGGTTAAGAGTTCTGACTATGGAGTCAACTTTCTGGGTTCAAATCCCACATCTGCCTTGTGTGATTCTGGACAAATTATTTTGTCTGTTTCTTCATCTATAAAAAAACTACTCTTCAAATCTGACTTACCGTCACCTAGAAAGATTGCTCAAAATCTGCTGTCTACTTTACATTTCATTTCCTGGTTTCTTAGATACTGCATAGGGTAATGAAATGTGTAACATTACACACACACAAACAAGCTTCTCAACTGGTCCCCTTTTTGTGAGCCTTTCTGAAGTACCATATGCTTTATTGCTTTTAGGTTTTTGTACTCATTGTATGTGATACACACATCCCCATTTGCTAACTCCTATTCCTTTTTCAGTACTTTTCAGTTTTCTCTACTAGGAAGTACTTGCCTTTCTCTTTCCAAATGTGGTACCATTGCAGAAGTTCAGGTTACATGATTTCCCTCAAATACATCGTTTAAACTATGGTGCAAAAAAGGTCTACCTTTCAGTTTTGGGCCATTATAAAAAAATATTAAATTATTTTATTTAATGGCACTTGCAAATCTTGGCTCAGTTGCCTGTTGCCTTTCCTGTTAAGTTCTCTGAGGATAAATCCTATATTTTCTATGACTTGTTATACAATCTTAAAGTTATATTTATCCTAAAATTACCTCTCTGAAAGTTCTTTGTAACAAGGTATCTATCAATGTGAGTCAACATATACATTTGAATTCATCTGCCTTTATTTGTACCTCTCAAACTGACCAATGACCTTGGCTTTTTATAGATTTAACTGAAACTTAATTTATTTTACTCCAAGAAATACTGGTAGATGAGGACAGGTTGGGATGGAACCAGGAATGAAAGCAGGAGTAGCAAAGATTGAGCAGATTTGATTCAGTAATTTGGCATGTTCTATATGTTTTATTTAGTAAATAATTGTTCCTTTAGATTTTCGATGTTGTCATCTATTGCTCAAGGTATTTAAATTTATGCATCTTGGTTTTTCCATTTATAGTGGGTTATTAAACTACATCTTCAATGTTTTTTCCAGCTGTAAAGTTTCTGCTATTCCAGGTAAAAGTGTATAGCTGTTCAAATACATAAATGTTGTTATTGTCAAGTAACCACTAATTTTAAGTTCTCCCTGTTTATAAACAACTCCGTTGAAATGCAACAAAACTTGTATCAGCAAAATTTTCTTGAGTAGCTTTTTTTTCCTTTCTGGAGTTCTTCATTGTAGCTCTTTCTGATTTTAGTATAACCTAAAAAGTTAATGAAAATAGGTGTAGGGAGACTGATAATAGATATAACTTAAGTATTTGTCATAAAAAATGTCAGATTACTTGTTTTCAGTGGGCATGAAATTCAAAGGTTAAGGTTATTATTCTGTGTAAATGAATGAGTGTTCTTGAGTAACACTTGGATCTTTTTTGTCTTATTTAAGTGCCAAGGATGACATTGATGCCTTGGCTGCAGAAATAGAGGGAGCTGGTGCTGCCAAGGAACAGGAACCTCAAAAACCAAAGGGGAAGAAGAAAAAGGAGAGAAAAAGGCAAGACTTTGAGTAAGTATATTTTAAGTATAATTGTTTTTTTTAGCATTTGTCATAGATTCACTATTAAGCCAGTTCAGGCCTCAAAATGTATTTTTAATCCTTTTCTAGTGAAGATGATATCCTAAAAGAACTGGAAGAATTATCTTGGGAAGCTCAAGGCATCAAAGCTGACAAAGAAACTGCTGCAGTAAAGGTGAAAGACTGATGTTTCCCATACTTTCTTGTGTCACTTTTAGGGAGCTGCTTTTGGGAACTCTTGAGCAACAAAACATGCCAGTTAAGTTTTATAAACTCTAATGTCAAAGTGGGAATAGTTTTTAGGAAAGAGTATTTTAAAACCTTTCATAGTTATAAAGTGCTTTATTTGGTAATATAAAGGTATTTTGTGTTCATAAAGTTGGTACATTTGGAGATAAAATATTTCCCATCTACATTTCCTATTATCTGTATTACTTCTTTTTCATCCTTTGTATTTGGGTAAGTTTCATACTAATGGAAAAGTGGTATTTTTTTTCTTTTAGTGTTCCTCTTATATGTTGTATTCCATTTGAATAAGATAGTAAATGTGGACTGGTGATTTGTGTTTGCTTCAGAGTACCTACAGAGTGCTTGCTGACCTGTGCTGTGAATATGGGATGTCCCTGAGGCCTAGGCTAGCTTCTGGGACTTGGCTTATATTCTTGTAGAAAGAACTTATGTTGAGATTATTTTGAAAGTTATTCTTATGTGTACTTAGTGAGACACTT